AAAAAAAAAAAAAAAAAAAAAAAATATAACAAGTTTCTACCTGTGTGTTACTAGGGTGTGTGTCAGCTGGGAGATACTGACAGCCAGAAAGACCGAGCTTTCCAGCGTATTGATATTAGGTCAGTATGACAGAGACAAGCTTGTTAGTTACTTAGTTACTGTTAGTTACTGTCAGTGTTCTTCTGAATGTACTTGATTTATCCAGGTAAAATAGACTTATTCTGTTTATATACCACTAGCTCTGATGCCTGCCAGGTTTCTGGGGCTCTGTAGGGGTATACCAATGGAAAATGTGGTACATGTGTTGACTTTATATCCAGTCAATTTTAAAAGTGTGAACATGTACTGGATAAGCATTGTAGAACCAGGAACTCCTATATCATTATAGATCTGAGATACGTTAATGATCAAGTAACGTCACATTTATCTATTGTTAAATACTAGTGTAATGGTTTTGAGTGCGTAGATGTTTTTAGATCCTGTATCGGGAAATAAACTGAACTATTACCTTACTTAATTACAAAATACAATATTTTATATCAGATAGTCATCAACATTCCTGCATATTTCTCCATTGTGTTCTCCTGATGAATGTCTTTTCATGACTTAAACCCTTGTTTTAAAAACATTGGTCAAACTGCTGGTATATTGTCCTGAGGTGAAGCTGGAGGCCAGTATATCAGGCTGAGGACCAATAACTTGGCCGATACAGAAATAGCTGTAGTGTTGTAACAATCTTGTATTACCTCCCTTCCATTACTTTCAGGGCACAAATAACATCATTTTTAAAACAAGAGTATTAGTCATGAAAAGAAATTACAGAAATAATTATTCATCTATAACCCTAAACTATATAAACACTCCATAACACGGTATACACACTCCTTAACACGGTAAGAAGCATATACGCTCTGTAAACTGTATAAACACCATACACACTCCATAACACAGTAAGAAGCATATACGCCCTGTAAACTGTATAAACACCATACACACTCCATAACACGGTAAGAAGCATATACGCTCTGTAAACTGTATAAACACCATACACACTCCATAAGAAATTTTCTTTCCACAGGTTGATACCCAACGACCAGTACTTCTGTGCCCTGATCTACTTCACTGGCAGTGACCAGTTTAACAAGGGCATGCGGGCACATGCATTGGAACAGGGCTTCACTCTCAATGAGTACTGTTTAAGGCCAGTTGGTAGTACAGGTAGGTATTTGTCTGTGTCAAGTACTGCTGCCTATAAAAATGGCATAACAAGCCTATAATAAATGTGTCCCAGGCAGCAACACGGTATATGCAGAATCTTGATCTGTTCAGAGAGGGAGATTAATAACGATGTTTTTATTGTCATTACCAAATATTGAGCTAGGTCGACTCCCATATCTCGGTTGAAACGGTTCAGGTGGCGCAGAAACATTCCTTGATAAACCCTTGATAAACAAAAGCACTTGGAACAAATTGTAGCCAGAGCTAAAAAAAAATGCACAGTTTCGGAGAATAAATAACAATATATCATTAATAATGTCCTTCTTTCACGTGTCCACTAAATTATATAATGTATCTTAAAATATACATGTGGATTGTCCTCGTTTTATTAAGAAATGATGCAAACTAGTGACAGTCAGCATTTCAGTTCCGGTCAGCCTTGGTTCAGAACTGCTCTGTTGTGTGATGGGATAGCGAGCTTTTAAAAATCTAGAACAAAGTGATGATATAGAAGCTGGCTTAACAGTAGTTACAATCTGTACTAACGGACATTATCATTGATGTGTTTGACTAAATCTCAAGTAGCTCCAATCTGTACTAAAGGACATTATCATTGATGTGTTTGACTATATCTCAAGTAGCTACAATCTGTACTAAAGGAAATTATCATTGATGTGTTTGACTATATCCCAGCAGTTACAATCTGTACTAACGGACATTATCATTGATGCGTTTGACAGTATCTCTATACTAACGGACATTATCATTGATGTGTTTGACAGAATCTCTGTCCTAACGGACATTATCATTGATGTGTTTGACAATATCCCAAGTAGTTACAATCTGGACTAACGGACATTATCATTGATGTGTTTGACAGAATCTCTGTACTAACGGACATTATCATTGATGTGTTTGACAATATCCCAAGTAGTTACAATCTGGACTAACGGACATTATCATTGATGTGTTTGACAATATCCCAAGTAGTTACAATCTGTCCTAACGGACATTATCATTGATGTGTTTGACAATATCCCAAGTAGTTACAATCTGGACTAACGGACATTATCATTGATGTGTTTGACAATATCCCAAGTAGCTACAATCTGTACTAACGGACATTGTCATTGATGTGTTTGACTAAATCTCAAGTAGCTCCAATCTGTACTAAAGGACATTATCATTGATGTGTTTGACTATATCTCAAGTAGCTACAATCTGTACTAAAGGACATTATCATTGATGTTTTTGACTATATCCCAAGTAGTTACAATCTGTCCTAACGGACATTATCATTGATGTGTTTGACAATATCCCAAGTAGTTACAATCTGGACTAACGGACATTATCATTGATGTGTTTGACAATATCCCAAGTAGATACAATCTGTACTAACGGACATTATCATTGATGCGTTTGACAGTATCTCTATACTAACGGACATTATCATTGATGTGTTTGACAGAATCTCTGTCCTAACGGACATTATCATTGATGTGTTTGACAATATCCCAAGTAGTTACAATCTGGACTAACGGACATTATCATTGATGTGTTTGACAATATCTCAAGTAGCTACAATCTGTACTAACGGACATTGTCATTGATGTGTTTGACTAAATCTCAAGTAGCTACAATCTGTACTAAAGGAAATTATCATTGATGTGTTTGACTATATCCCAGTAGTTACAATCTGTACTAACGGACATTATAATTGATGTGTTTGACTATATCCCAAGTAGTTACAATCTGTACCAACGGACATTATCATTGATGTGTTTGACTATATTCCAAGTAGTTACAATCCGTACTAACGGACATTATCATTGATGTGTTTGACAGAATCTCTGTCCTAACGGACATTATCATTGATGTGTTTGACAATATCCCAAGTAGTTACAATCTGGACTAACGGACATTATCATTGATGTGTTTGACAGTATCTCTGTACTAACGGACATTATCCTTGATGTGTTTGACAGGCACACCAGGAGAGCCACTCCCGGTATCCTCTGAGGAGGACATCTTTGATTACCTTGGGATGGAGTTTAAAAAACCAGCAGAAAGAAATCTGTAGTCATTATAACTAAAGCTATAAGGACATTCTGTGTAGCTGAGATCAATTTGTTAACGATGCCTTGAGAGAATGTTCAGATGAAATAACATACTTGAAAGACTGAATTTTACACACCAACTGTAGGATTAGAATAAATGTAGTCTCAGATGGCTTGTCTTATTTATTGACATTCTAGTGTATGTATGAAATAGTTATCTTATCCAGTAGCTGCCATACCTGTTGTACTGCTGCAGAGAAGTATTGGGTGAGCTATAATGGCAATATAAAGGGTGAATGTGTGCATGTCTTTATACCACCCTGTGAGAACTGATGCTAGGATAATTGTCTTTATAAATGATTTAGTTACATGATAAGGTTAGTTGTAAGGTTCCAATTTACATGTTCGTATTTGTGATTTGTGAATTATGTTCAGTGTATGCAGCATCCATTATTAAATGTTTACTCTCAAATATTTCTTTGCTTTGCAAGGTTCTGGAAACTTTTACATTTGTTGAAGACAACTTTGAATTGAAATGTTTGTGATTTACTGGGTCTGAAGGGCCATAGTGAGCTATGCTGTATGTACTGTGGCATCCGTCGTCTCTCCATCAACAATCTCTTCTGAATTGCCGATTGGAATTTAACCAGATTTGACTGGAAGCATCCCTAGGTGTTAGGGATACAACATGGTACCATTGGTGAGGCTGAGAGGCGGGCCAAAGAGGGGTAATTTGGCAATGTTGCTTTAAATGACTTTTCCTCTAGAACTGGCCCCGAGCCTGGCCCCACAACTCGAGACATCATTACAGGGTCCTATTTTAAATGGTTGGAATCCCCACCACATAACCCTATATAAAACTGCTGGGCCATAAAAAGACAAACACAATCATGATATTAGAATTGACCCAGGGGTCTGGCCACAACCTTAGGGACTTAGTTTCTGGTTCACAACTTAGAAAGTAGAAACAGTCAGTCGAAGTTTCCATCCTAGAACTACTTACATGAATGTAGTTACTGTGCATGAAAGTTCAATTACAGATATACAACCAGGTATAACCTCAGGGTTTTGCCTTGCACATAGGAACTTGGTCCCTGGGTCATTACATTGTTAGGGGACCCAAAATGGAACACTTTCTGAAGGAAAATATAAATATTTCCTATAAAGTTTTTGAAAGACCTTTTTTTTTTACTGAAATGAAACAATACATGTCTTTTACTTTTTATGTAATTCTTGGGTATCACTAGCTCTTGTGTCTATTTATAGATCTTGTTAAAGTGAGTGGGATTCACTTGGAGATTTTACCTGGTCAAGTACCCAAAATGGAACACTTCATCATAGAAGTCAGTTCATGAAAATAACTGACAGCATTAGAAATAATTTTCTTCATTTCAAAAATGTTTTGACAATTTCTTTGTTTGAACATACAGTTTTTCATGTTAAGAAATATGATAGGATATTTATGTTGTATACCGTACTGTCTCCCAGGAAAAAAAATTCATTTCAATTTTTTAATATTTCAACTGAGTTATGAGCAATGTTTCAGAGGAAGGCAGATGAAATTTGCTAAAAGATCCATAAAACTACATTATGTATATAAATCTTGATTGAGAATACATACCACTCATTCTTTTGGCAAAATAGAAAATGCTGCATCATATATATCTAAAGTGTTCCATTTTGGGTACCCTCACCCTATGGTTCAGATCCCTACCCCGTAACCTTATATGTAATTGATGGGCATGAAAAATCATATATAGATATGTTACCAGGATTGGCCTTGGGGTCTGCCCCATCCCTGGTTACTTACCCTGTCTCTTGGATCTTATTTGTATACAGTACTACTTTTAATGAGGATATTTTGCCTAATTGTTTAAAGGTAGGGTCAACGCCTATGGAGATTTAACATTAGCGTCGGCCCCCACTAAGAATTTCAAAACAAGATAAATCCAAAAAGGTATGGGTATAGGAAGCTTAAATCAGGAACAGTAAGTTTCAGAATTCATTTGATGATAAATGGGACCTCCTTGACTTACACCTGTGTGGGTGTTAAAGGTGCAGTAATACAATTCCTCCTAGAGCATTTAAATGGCACAATTACTATAATATGATATCATCATTGTGTGCAACATATTACAACTGTTATTTTGATACTGAATATTACACTACTTCAATAAAGAATTGTTCTATTTATTTAAGATTTAAGCAGAAAAGTGTGTGAAATTTCATTTTTAATGAGAAATTTACGATGGCCGATAGCGGCCGACAGAACACTCATGTTAGTAAGAAGTGTTTTGTCTGACAGTTTGTCAAATTATAAGTGGGCATTTTACACATTTTGTAAAAAGTGTAAACTGTCATGACACTGTCAATTCATGCAAGGCAGTTTACTCATTTTTCTTTCACAAAATAAACATTGGGGGAGGAGGGAGAGATGGAAATACGGTCACATTCCAAGGGCTGAGGGACTAAAATGAACAAAAGATAATCCGTAGTAGCGTAGAAGTTAATCACATGAAAGTACTGACTGTTCAAAATGCTAGACATGTCATGCTTTCTGCAAATTTTATACCACAGCTCAATGATTGTGACGTGGTAGAAAATGATATTTTCGAAAATCGTTTTGAAAACTAAGCAGTATTGATTAGATTAATAAACTGTTCGACATATTCCTCACTTTCAGCTTATAAGGCATTCAATAAGGCATGCAAAGCAATTTCACATTCCATTTTGATATGAAGTTTCAGTTCGTGAACATTAGCTTAATAACATATATTTCGTGAAATTTTGTGTGTGAAGTAAACCGCATATCATTTCAATTTTCGAAAGGGATTGGAGCATTTAGCATACGTATGTAAACGGTCAACCGAAGGAGCTAATGACTGCGCAAACATATGTCCGCAACGATAAAATGTAATACATATTGTATATCTCAAATATATTATTATACTATTACATGTATCAGTGGATACATTATGCGTATTAGGAGATACAACGCATACATCAAATCGAAGGGTTGAACATTACATACCACTACAGTATACTTACTGTCTTGAGGTTCAGTCTGCATTTTGAAATGTCACTGAAAATAACATGATATGTATACTACTTATTTGTCAATAGTCACTGAGTATTACATTTGTATAATAATTACAATTATCATTACCGTGTTCTCCCGGATAAGTTAAGTTAATGGTATGAACTATTGTATCAAGATTGTAACAACTCTGTGCTATATCAATAAAACGAGTATATCAAACATTACGGTTAAAATGTATGCAGACTTTGACTATGCCATCATTTCTATCAAAACATCTTTTGAAACAACTATTAGCCTCCTATTTGTGACCTTCAGATCAACCACACGTTGTGTAACATGACCAAGAAAGGTTATCCTGCTGCCTGGAGAGTCTAGTGCTACCTTCAGTATTGAACTTGTGATCGCCAATAAATCCTTAAGTTTACATATTCAAAACAGTATACATATACATTTATAATATAAATACTTTTTAAACAGCATAGTTTTACCTACTTCATAGCAGGAACTCCCTCTTGCTCCCAGTGTACACAATGAACAGTTAAAAACACTATCTAATCCGTTTGATTTATGTTTAAACCCTTGTAATGTGACCCTATTTCCATCCCTCCCTCCTCCCCAAGTGTTTATTTTGTGAAAGTAAAATGAGTAAACTGCCATGCATGAATTGACAAAGTGTCATGACAGTTTACACATTTTACAAAATGTGTAAAATGCCCACTTATAATTTGACAAACTGTCAGACAGAACACTTTTTACTAATACGAGTGTTCTGTCGGCCGCTATCGGCCATCGTAGAAATTTTCCATTTTTGACACATTAATTCATATAGTTCTAAAACTAGTCTATTTTTCTTACTTGTTAAAAAGTTGTCTACCAATAATATCTTTCAACATCAGGAATTTCCAAAAAATTGTAAACCGGTAAATTTGTCATAAATTACTTTTGGTTCAAAAAAAGAATAACAGCTTACTTGCCAAATTTCCTTTAACTTGTGTTTCTTCATTACTAAAGGTCCATGGGTGTTGATATATGGCAAGTAGGTTGTTCATGTAAATGGTGTTGTTAATTTTGATGACCTTGACCTTTGTTCAAGGTCAGAAAAACCAAATGTGCCGAAGGGTTGAGACGGGGGTATTCCCCTATTCCTAACAATGGCATGACGTCACTTTAACAATACAATGACGTCATGTCAACAATCCATCAACGTCACGTCAACCCTGAATTTAGCATGTAACGTTATCATAACATTGTGCATATGATACACAATGAAAGAACAGGGTAAGAGAAAAAGAATCATTCACCCCCTTGGGGGTGAGATAGTGGAATCTCAACCCTCGGGGAAAGATTCTTTAGTTGCCAAACACTCGGCAAAGCCTTGTGTTTGGCAACTTAAGAATCCTCCCCCTCGGGTTGAGATTCTCCTATCTCACCCCCAAGGGGGTGAAAGATTCTATTAATCTTTCCTTGCTTTATTTGTTTAGAGTTAACAATATAAAATAGTGTAATATCCCTTAATATTTTGTTTAATGAATGGTCAAAAGGCAACAAAAATAATAACTAGAACTGTAAGCCAAAGACTAACTAATACCCCCGCTCCTATATAAACCAGAACTGTAATCTAAAGGCTAATAACTAAGGCAAAGCATTGCAAATTAATCCATAGTCTCCCACCAGTAATTATGTATATATATATGTCACTGACATACTTCTTGTACTCCCTCCCCATGCCAAAACATACTTTCATACCACATCTTGTTAGCCTAGATGACCCACTTTTGCTGAAATCGTTCTAGTAGTGAAGGAAGAGTTGTCAAGACAAAGTTTTTTAACAAAGGGCCATAACTCCTTAAAAAGGGTCGAAATGAAAAAATACTACCCTGATGCACGACATCGGAGGGTAATTACCATATTTGTAAACTTTCTTGAAATTGGCCCAGAAGATTATGAGGCAGACAAATATTTTTTTTCAAGAAAGGGCCATAATTGCTTTTTAAAGGGTCGGAATGAAAACATACTTCTTGGATGCACAATGTCAGGGGGCAGTTACCATATTTGTAAACTTCCGTTGAAATTGGCCCCATAGTGTTGGAGGAGTTGTCTGGACAAGCGTTTTTCAACAAAGGGCCATAACTCCGTACAAAAATGGTCAGATTGAAAAAACAATACCTGGATGGACAACAGGTGTTAGTTATCATATCTGGAAACCTTCGTTGAAATTGGTCCACGACTTTAGAATGAGTTGACAGATAGACGGATAGACAAGCTGATTCCAGTATACCCCATCTTATTATTATTATTATTTTTATTATTTTTAGATAATTGTATAGCTTTGTCTATAACACAATCTCAAACCTAAAGTAGTTCTTCAGAGGAAAGATTACTATGACAGAATACATATTCATGAGTTATTACTGCTGCACATAATTTTAAAACATGTCTTATATAATAAAGTGTCTTAGTATGATACAAAAACAGAAAATGTATCGGTATTTATCATAATAAACATTGATAGTCAAATCTTCAAGGTTATGTGAAATTGGGCATTGATCATGTTTGTCATGCTAAAAGAGTACTTTACCGGTTTTGATATCTATTATTACATAAAAATGATTCTGTAGACAGAATACATATATAGGAAGTTTTTAAAGAAGTTTAAATATAGACTACCATTGTAACTATATATAGGCAAGTTGACAATGTTAGTTATATTGAAAATTTTGTGAAAATTTTGCTTGTTTTTCCAATTAAAAGTATCACTACGCTTACTTATGTCTACCAATATGACATATTTAGTATCAAAATAACAGTAATCTTATACACTATATACTATCATAATTCATTTCCAAATTAACGTTTTGTTAGGATACCTCCGTCACTCAACCTGGTGTTATGCAAGGAGGTCCACTACGGTTATCAGTAACAATTATGAATAATCATTTATGCAGTTATTGATCATTTTTATGTATCTACATATGGCAAAAGAATAAAGGAAATCAAAGTGGGGGCCGAATGTTGACCCCACCTTTCCAGGTGAGTGATTATACAGGTTCTCTGGGCCTCTTGTTGAAATGTTAATGTATCACAGCAAACCAATTTGATATGAAATATTAGATTGTTTATAGTTACTATCATGATATCAACCTTAACTTTGAAAATTGTCAAATAAATGTTTTGTGCATAGATAGTGTTGTTTTATCCTTTGGTTTTGATCAATGTAAAAATGTGAGAATATGACATAGTACACAATAAATATGTCCATAAAATTTCTAGCTTAACGATACCCTCACAAATGATGTTGTAGGGTGGAGCCCGGGGGGGCTTAGTTCATTTTGAACACAAACAGGAATTGAGAAGTTATTTTACGAGCTTTTGAAAACATCCATTTCCTTTGTCAAGCAAAGAGTGTAAATGACCAGTGTCTAGAACCTAAACCACTACAAACAACCCACTAAGCCACATTGAGCCAAATAAGTAAAGTCAGCTGTCAAAAATCTTAATACATTTCTAACAATAGCACTCTAATACTGCAGTCAGTCAGGGGGACAGGTAACATGTTTACCCATTCTGCCCCTTAGTGGATGTTAAAATGGGGTCGTAAAGAGGACTCAGCTGGTGGCCCCCCTCATCAATTCACCTTCCCCCCCAGAAGGATTCTTTGATTTTACGTACTTTCCAATTGTACTCCCTTTTAAGTACTTTAAGAGTTGTTCCAGTCGATGATGTGGTTGTGTATGTTGTCTTCCAATACAAGAGATCCCAGAGGGATCTTGGCGCCCACCTTTGTACCATCTTCATTAGTTCTTTGTCAGTTCGATCTCTTCTCTTCTTTCCTCTAATCTGTTTGATCGAGTCATGTTAACAGTAAATGCACCTTGAGGTAACTTTTGATCTAAACTTAATACTGATGT